CTAGGGAAATCTATGTCTCTGATCTTGTCATTTGGCCCGGCTGGTGCTGTGCATTAACAACCATTGTCAGGCACCCTCGAAAGACCAACAGCGATGAGTTCATGACCCAAGCATTATTTGGGCCGTTAAGTTGACTAAGGCTGTGTTTACATGAGGCGTTTCAACCCGGGTTGAGTTCGACCCGGGTCAGATTTCAACCCGCCATGTGCACAAAATGAATGGCGCGTTTACATGACGCATTGCGCTTGACCCGGGTTGAAATTTCGCCCCGGGTTGATTTCAACCCTCCCCCTAAGGGGAGGGTTGAAACCAACCCGGGTCAAGAAAATCTTACAAACGTACTTCTGTGCGTATCTCACGACAGGTTTGAACAGCACTGCAGATGCAAATTTCGCGCGAACGGATTCACGTGACCATGCAGGACTGTAGAAGTGGACTTTTGGCGGCATATCAGTATTTGACCCGGGTCAACTGTCTTCATGTAAACGCTCACCTCTTTTGTTTGTCGTACAGACTTTCAACCCGGGTTGAAATTTCTCATGTAAACACAGCCTAAACGGGAGTGTAGCAAGCTTTGATCGGCGTACTTCCTTCCGTACGTAGTGAAATGTTGTCCGAGCTGAATAGATTCTATCTCCTGCGGTTTAGTACAACAGTTTCACACCTAATACTGTAGATTCGACGTCTCCAAGAAAAACCTCCATGGAGACTGGAAACTATAGCAGATCATAAATGACGCAGCAGCTCAGCTGATTCCCCAGCTCGTGTCTACTTGGTTCATGTACTTTGGTCAACGTGTTGTGGCAGACTCCATGTACAAAGCTGCATACTCTTGGGGTTATTGATTCTTGCTGATAATTCCATTAATGTTATTGCATAGATATGAACATCATAATAATTGAATGTTGGCAAGACCCAACAAGGTGTCCCTAATGACTTACATCAGATCTTCACAAAATGCACATACTGTAAGACATGTATATATATAACGAGGAAGCAAATCTAACGTTTTAACGGATAACATTTCTTCGTTATAATAAGATCCGTTGAGGCCGTACTGCTTCATATATGCTGTGTGTGGATATGGCAGAATACTGCAAGATCGTTAACCTATGAATTTTGGACAATCGTTAAATTAGCGACTCGTTATAATAACATGTCTTACAGTATATCTTGAAAAGCCGTATTTTGGTTTCACATACACGTCTCATTTCTATCACAGAGATCAGCAGCCATGGGCCATTGGTGGCAATACTGGTAGGAGTCGCCCGAGGCTAAGCCAATAATTTCCGTTCTATACCCAATGTACATACCTGAACTGGGCAAAAATCTATCCCATTCCTTGGTGCTGACCCCTTTGATGCGCCCCCGAATCCCTTAGCATTATTAGTACCTCCAATTCATTTCGTCATCAGCTCACCGCATGCTCAGTACTGTGTTGTAAAGTATGCAAATTTTCGACGCTTTTAAATTGCAGCCTCCCCAGGGCAAAAACACATCTCGGCCACATTGAAATTTCAGCCTGTACTGCTGATGCCTGTATACACTGTCACATTGAACCTTGCAAAACAAATTTTAGGCTACAAATGCCCAGTAAATAAGAGGGGAGAAGGCACTGAACGAAGTGTCAACCTACGAATACAACCTCAGTGCAACAACGTGCTCTTTCTGCTTGTGTAAGCAGAAAGAGCACGTTGTTGCACTGAGGTTGTATTTGTAGGTTGACAGTTCGTTCAGTGCCTTTTCACCTTTGGTTACATAATTTTGTTACCTTTTGCGTTTCCTCTAGTAAATAAAAGGGGGTTGTCAAATGACAACCGCTCTATTCAATTGCTATTCACTCTTGGCGCATGCGCTGGACGAAAAATTCTTATATTAGTGATGTCGAAAAAGTATGCGGTTGTCAGTTGACAAACCCCTTTTTATTTACAATTCAGTTGCGTGATGTCCACCACTTTCCGAATTAAAAATGCACAGGCCGATAATAGCCGAAAATAAAATATGCGCCGAATATGCAGTACCTTGCGCACTCTGTTAGAAGACATTAGGGCTACTGGGAATGAATGCCCAAGTAAAATGATGAAGTACAGTAATACAATACTATAGGGAGTGCATTTGCCATGAATGCACCAAGCCAACTCTCCTATACAAACAGTATAGTGTTGCTGCCAAAAATATGATCAGCTAAAGTTGCCTTTTTGCATTATTATATAATATGGTCGAACTTTTTTTTTCCTGTAGCCTCGTTCCCAAGCTGTGGATTTAATCATGAAATTCGTTAGCAAGACGAAGAGGTTTTATGTGAGCTTACTATTATTCTACCTGCACTTGCTTTTATCTTTTTTGTGCAGGACTCTGAGAAGCTGGAGGGACCCAACAAACCTCAAGCATTGAAGATACAACTTTTAACCAAGAACCAGGCAACATGATGTGCATTTATCACGTTCGCTGTGATTGCATCGTTTCAGGGTACACTGACAACATACTAGTACTAGTAACTAGTCCTTGATTAGCAGCAGTGGCCTGAATTATTGCCTGGCCGCTATTCATATAATCCTTTGGTGCTTACTCATCGCCTTGTTCTGTCTCTAAAATGGCGTATGGGTGTTCCGAGGCTTGTAATATTTGCTCAAGCCGCGCATTGGCATTGGTGCATGTCGGTAAATGCCAGCCACTGCCTAGCTCAACATGTTTTGTATGATGTAGAATGCGCTCTGTGTATCTACAATCGAGTGACCTACAGTTGCACTAGTATGTGCACTGTGCTGGCACAGTGTATCATACTCAGTCTTGTCACTTCTTCTCCCACGTTTACTGTATTGTTTAATTCACTGTACACATCTTGCCCAGCTCCTCTAAGGCCACACAGAATTAGTTTGTTGTTTTGGGCCACTACACTCAGCTGGTGTAAGGTTGGTCTGCTTCTCTCTTCCTTTTCTTCGACGTGTCCAGCCAATCATTCATGTCAAGCTTTGCATAACTTAGATCACTGTATATACAGTCACCTGGCTGGAAACGTCCATGGCTGCAAAATCACATCTTTCTTGAGGGACCCCATTTTATAGAGTGGACGACATTCACTTTCCTGATAGACTCACCTCAGATGTTGGTATTGTACCCATCCCTGATTTGTACATGCACCACTTTTTTGGCAACTCCGAACAGTGAGAATGTCTGCTGTGGATAGTTCTCATGCTTTAAACTCATTCCTAAATTGAATGTAAACAAGTACGGTATAATACCGCCGAAATGTAGTTCATTACAAGTCGTCGATTATGATCCTTTGTTGAGACGAAAGCTTCGGGACCTGGGAGTACTTGTGACATACCCATATCATACTCCCTCATGTTCTGAAGCTGTGTGTGTCGTGTTTGCTTTGCTTTAAAGTATATTAAGAGCTCTGATGGTCTGCACTCTTTGAATGGAGTCACCTCCAGTGGTTATGGCGATCGAGTGCATGTATGTTCGGATAAGGGCGTGGGAAAACACTCATCTAAAACATACTCATTTCCTCATGCATACTTTTATTTCTCATTCTTTTCGGCACACACTCCAGCTCCTCGAAATTATCATGGGATGCATGTTGATGACAGCCTGCTGCCATGCAGACTGAGCAGTTCGGACAATCAATCATTCGGATAATCGGCATTCTATATTACTACAGTTGTAGTAGCTGTATTTCATGTACAGTACTACAGACAGTAGAGTCAGGCGCCGAAGAATGTGTTGCCCAAGAATGTCCAGCCTGAAATGCTAAGAACGCCACCGCCTAAAGTTAAGAAGGGCGGTGTTGGTTTTCCGGCAGCTTTTGGGATACATCATTATGATCCTAACATGATTGTTTCTAAGAACATGCTATAAGAGCGCAGCCGGATGGCTGAAAAATAAGAACACCCCAGGCTAACCTCTTGGACACAACGTTCTTGGACGCTTGACTCTACTGTAGTATGGAAGAACACTCTTCGGCAGGGATGTTACATTTTAGAAATCATGCGTACAAGATGCCTATTAAAGTCTGCTCTTTTTTTATGACAAGCTTTGGCATGCATGCAGCTCTTAATTAACCCCAAAGGTGGAGTGCAATGACATGCATTTGGAACCGTGATCACTAAAATCCTTCGCTAAATTCTACGATTTAGAACTATACGTGATGTTGCACACCCAAGAACGTCGTTCCGAGGGCCTAGGTCGGGGGCGTTCTTGGAAGAACATCATGCTGGATTGTAGATAAACTATATAACCCACATGTGTGTGATAACAAAAACTGCGGTACAGTGCGGAGAAACTAGTCTAACATACCGGTACTAATATCACCAGTAGGTTTTCTAAACTTCTTGTTCTATACTGGAGAATATTCCAGCGAGTGAATCCAGAGCAAGTGCTATGGAAATGGACTAGCGAGAGCTCACAATAGCCAGACAAACCCACGAGTCCTTTCTTGAACCGAACAATAATCATTTATGGCATTCAACATGCAGTTTGGGAAGCCATGCAGTCCTGGGACAAATATCCAAATGCATTCTTGTCTCCAGACCAAACAACGATTGTTATCATACTTGACAATTTCCAACTCTACGACCACCATGCCAGCTCAAGCAAAAAGAAGCAAAGGAAGACGGAGATTTCTACTTGTGCAGCCATTCAGGGAGGAGCACGAAGGCTGTTTTAACATTACATGATTCGACTGTGCACGCACTTTCCAAAAGTGTACTTATCACATACCACGTGAACTCTTAGGCTGTTTGCAGTGCGATATACTTACATGTGCATGCCCTTGCCGCACATTCACACTCCAGTACAAAACATAATCATGCAAATATGTAATGCACATAATGTGACATTCTACGCTTGAAAGCAGATCAGCATTCGAACTTTTTCATTGCCTTCAGGCTGCAACAGCATATTGCAAGAGGGCACAATGGCCCAACCCAACATCTTCCAGTGAACACCATCGGCCATGGCAGTACAGACCATCTGACATCACTCACACCACCCACATCGAAGAGAAGCAATGTTGATACTTCATAGTTAACACGTTACAAATACTACTGAGAGTGCATATAGGCAGTACACCAGGTTCAGGATGCATTGATCCATTCTTCTGCTTCAACTACCTTAGCTGCTCATTTGATCTATGGCTATGCATGCTGTCATCAGTGAGCCACATCATTGCGAAAGACTGATGATGGAGAGATCATTGCGAGTGTGTAGTCACAATACTATCAGTCTAGAGAAATACGTTTGGCAAATATAGGAATACTGTGGACAAAATTGTACACAATAACCTGCCTTGAAGCAAATCTCAGAAAGAAAGCGCTGTACAGATGCATATCAGCGGCTTCAGATTCAGTCACTTCGTGAGATCCAATATTCTTCCAACTGTACTGTTCAGCCTTTGGTGATCCACAGAGACAGACAAACAATCTGTTCCGTCCTTCCACATGAGAAACAGAGAGGGAACATGTTCCAGTTCATTCCAGTATGAAGGCGGCGGATACAGGCAATGAAAGTCATCGTTGGGCCAACATGACCAGCTTTCAGACATGGGTTCTCAGAGACCTTCGCTCATGATAATGGTATTCACCCTGGCGACAATCCTGCAAAACACGTGAAAAGATTGCAGCAAAACAAACTGAATGTTATAAAGAAGCAATTTAGGAAAACTAAGCCTATCGTATTTGTAGTACAGTGAAGCTAAGATACAACACCCAGCAGCCAGGCAAACTTGCTAATATCCGATGAATTAGCATGCCTGGTCATGGCACACCGGGTACAAAATATGCAACCAGCATAACGTTTCCACCAGTATTGATAATCTATCGTAACGTTATGATCAAACTACATAACTGCTAAGAATGTGCAACTACTAACATAAGGTACGATCGGCTTCGAAATCCAATGATTATGAGCAAGCGCGCATATATTTCTACATGTGCCATGTAGATAGAGTGTTTCATCAGGTTCAGTAGGCATGGATCCACAGTTCATTGTTCTGCTTCAACTACCGTAGCTGTGATGTACAAGTTTTGATCTCTGGCTATGCATGATGGTATTAGTGAGCCCAATGGCCCACAAAAACCGAAGTGATGAAACTTTCTGCCGTGGGCAGAGGGATCATCGAGTTACCCACTCTTGGTTATGTACTCATGCCATTACCAACTATCAGTGCACAAGTACTGCTACACCCTCACTATGATCCATTGCAACACTATCACCAGGCACATGCATGCTACTGCAGCCATTAAACCAAGAGTCGCAAATAGGAAAAGCTTTGCTGTAAACCACAGCTATAAGGTGCTTTGAGTCCAGTTTTGTGGGAAAGTTGCACTGCACGATGCACAATACCACATCGAGCGAAATTCTTTTTTTCACATAGCGTGAAGTGTCTCTCGAGAAATGCAATGCACAATGCATAGCACATCGCAGAAAAATCTTGTATTGCACCTGCAGTCTAAAACTGCTTGCCAGCCAGAGCTCTTGAGTCACATGCACCAGCATGCAGGAAGTGATGCCCATCACGTGTCACCCAACCTAGAAGTGGAGCTGGACTCAATTTCCTGTGATACGACCTGTGATGGAGCTGCAACAACCAGCGATGCAAGTTTGCAGTCCAATTATTTGAAACTGGCCCGCTATGTTGCTGAGAATGTACTCAAGGCAACATTTGAGAAATTACCTTTCGAAAAAATGTTCGGTACAAACCTGGCCGGATATTGTTTCAACGGTACTGTGCGAAGAAAACAACTATTTTATTGCATAGACTAAGGGTGCGTTCTTAAATCCTCTCGGAAAAGTTGGAGACTCTCCGAAAAGTTCGAGAGCTGTTCTTATATCCTCTCCGACTTTTAGGAGGCTCTCCAAAGCTCTCCAAGCTCTCCAAGCTTCAGAGGTGGTTGAAACTTGGAGATTCCCGCGGTTTGGGATCAGCGCATGCGAACTACGACTAAAAGCCACGTGTTCGTCATGAGTGTACGCATTTCCCTTTTCGCATACGCACATACATTCGTCACTCAAGACGCTTTGACGCTTCATTTTGCTTGACATGTGCAAAATATCTCCGAATTCTTCGAGACCCGTTCTTGAGTAATCCCAGTTTCTTCGACTTCTCTTTTCTTCTTCTTCTAGAAGCTAGAGAATATAAGAACGCACCCTAAGGAGCTATCCAGCATTATCGATAATTTTCACGAAATGGTCCGCATGCAGCATGGAGGTGCTAGTAAGGGTGCGTTCTTAAATTCTCTAGCTTCTAGGAGAAGAAGAAAAGAGAAGTCGAAGAAACTGGGATTCTTCAAGAACGGGTCTCGAAGAATTCGGAGATATTTTGCAGATGTCAAGCAAAATGAAGCGCCAAAGGGGCCGCGATCTTGAGTGCCACGAATATAGTATGCGCTGTGCGTATGCGAAAAGGGAAATGCGTACACTCATGATCAACACGTGGCTTTTAGCCTAGTTCGCATGCGCTGATCCCAAACCGCGGGAATCTCCAAGTTTCAACCACCTCTGAAGCTTGGAGAGCTTTGGAGAGCCTCCTAAAATTCGGAGAGGATAAAAGAACAGCTCTCGAACTTTTCGGAGAGTCTCCAACTTTTCCGAGAGGATTTAAGAACGCACCCTAAGTCACTGGCATATGTTCTCGTGTGGATCGATGTACAGTGCGTGACAATGCTTCCATAGTGGTGGCGGCGGGAGCACACTGCACTGCAGGGCATTACAGCACTGGCATACTATTAATTTCTCTTGCAGACGTGCCGTGCACGACAATGCTTCTATAGTGGTGGTCACGGTGGTGGTGGTGGTGGTGGTCATAGTGGTGGTGGTGGTGGTGCTGCTGGTGGTGGTGGCGGCGGTTGCGGTGGTGGGAGCATTCTGCACTGCAGGGCATTAAAGCAAGCTCGATTGTGCATGCATGGTGGCGGTGGGAAAGAGGAGCCAAGGAAAGCGTGTACATATTTTTTGTTGAAAGCACGAGAATTCAAAGAAAGCTGGCTGCTTCCTCTATTTCCATGATCGGCCAGTGCCTGCAGCACGAACAGTACATTGTATTACATGTATGTGCATAGACAGACAAATAAACACTAACCTGAGCATGGGTACCGCTTGTATTCGTGGTCAGGAAAGTGAAAGTACGAACGAAGGAGAAGAAGATTGTTGACCATGGCGAACAACTGCATATCCAGAGGGCACACGGCTCGCCAGAATGGGTCGGCTACATCTTCGCTAATTTTCTATCCTAACAACATTCAGCTTCGAGGTCAAGGACGACGGCATTTTTGGAAGGAAATTTCGAATTTTGGAGAAGAAGCTTGCTTTCGGAAAAATGTTTACGTTCCAGACCAAGCCGTGAATCGCCCTCGCTCTGACTCGTCCGGACTAGTAATGTCTACGTCTACTGTACTTCTGATCCACCCTCCCAAAAAAGAAAGAAAAAAAAAGTATAATATAAACCACGTTTATAAATTAATAATTTATAAAAGCACGTTTTCGGCGGGAAAACGAAAAAACCGGATCTCCATCAATCGAACCTATCCCATCCTAGGATGGGCACCCCCTCAACCCATCCTAAGATGGGCACCTGCCCATCTTAGGATGGGCAGAATCGACGGACGGGCCGGAACACATATGAGCCGTCAGATGAGAAAACAGACCTTATCGCAAAATCTGTACAGTGCAGAAAAGTGCACTTGAAAGTAGGCGAGTTTACCCACTGGTGCGTCTGGACAACCAAGCTACAAACCGTCGTATTTCAGTCAAATATCGGTCTTTCAAGACAATCCAAGTATGTAAATCGAAGAGAAAACTCCAAGGAATCCAATGCAGCAAGCGCGATCGCGGCACGATGCTGCGTTCCCGAGATGCGAAGCCTGCAAGATACGTCACGGCACTTTGCATTTCTACACGCGAGTCAAACGCTCCAGACCTGGGGTTTCCCCCTTTTCAAGCGATCTACGATCTCGGCAACAGGCTCAGACGTCTTGGAAGCTCTCACTGCATCTTCACGAAAAAAATTGGGCGTCCTGGGATAATGGAGATGGAAATGGCGAGCGATTTTCGTGTGACGGCGCAAGTCTAGCGCTGAAGCGATGTCTGCAGCTTGATGCGCTGGAGCTGTGCTTTATTTGCTATCGGATTTGGGCCCAACGAGTTGCTTGTCGCCAGAGCTTTCCAGAAAGCCCAAGTTTGTGGAAATCGGTCAAAGGAAACAGAAAATATTATCCAAAGTAGGTGAAACAATTGTTGGTATTGCACCCAAAATTGAGGTGCAATTTGTAATGGTCTCCTACTGTGGAGGCTATAACTTTGCTTTCCCTGGTCCAAATCAACTCTAGTTTTCTGCATACGATTCCTGGTGCTCCTGGCAATCAGATAGTACCACAAACAAAAATATGACTTTTTTGTGATAAGGTCTGTTTTCTCATCTGACGGCTCATATACTGTCCCACACAATCGGTCAGTGCTCAAATCGCATTTTCCCATCAATATCACTCACTTTCAACTCTACGGGATTCATTACGGTTGGCTCAAACTGCCTGAATTTTTGAATCCACACGCACGAAAGACGTTCCAAGACTTCCACCGTTCGTATTTTTTCAAACGAGTTCCGGGTTTTCCAGTAACTTTGGCCAAAGTTCGGCTAAAAAAACAGGGGGAGCCGTTGCGTTTCCGTAAAATACTGAACGGTAGAAGGATAGCCAAGGTCGAGAGCAAAACAACAAGCCATTATTTGTCAAAATCGAACAAGAAACGGCTCAGCGCATCTATTTTCCGTGCACGCGCGCGTACTTTGGCCGACAAGGTGTGGAGAATTTCTGAAGAAGAAGAATAACAAGAGCAGCAGCGCTCGGAACAGCCGTGCTGGATACTTCCAATCCCGACGATGGAGCGTGTTGGCTGTCGTGAGCTGCTGAAACGACCATGACATTTCTTTTTCTTTGTATACCCTACATATCTTGACGTGCCCTAGCTCAGTTTCGGCCTCTTTACAGGAAGAATATTTTCTTCCATGGCATCAGCGGCCAAACAGCAAGAAGAGCAACAGATCGAGATTTGCAGGGCAAACAAAGGATGCGTGCAGCTACATCTAGTCGGGTTCGATGCAGCTGCGCTTTGCCAGAACCTCAGCAGATAAGAAAAGACGACAGAGTGTCTCAGATGGAACTGGATCTTTCGCCAAGACCGCCACCGCCGCCATCATCAAGTCCAGGTCAGTCAGAAAAATGCAAAGCCCGAGTGAAGTGAAGCCACTGAAGCCAAGGAAAAAATTACAAAATGTACGCTCTCCGGCTAGACTTCGAGTCGATATTTTTTTACTTCGATAGGCGCTGTCGCGGCCTGTAGCGCGCGTCCATAATCCAAAATGGAGGCGCACGTGACGGGTGCTTTTAGTGGCAAGCCGTGAACCCTAAACTTACTTTGTATCCACTGCTACACTTTCTGTAGTCTGGGCTTCATGTATGACTAACACTGCTATTGATGTATTGACTTTCAGTCGGCTCCAGTTACAACTGCCGGTACACATGATACATGAACTGTCTGACCCCTTTCATGCATTCGTATGCAGCTGTCACCTAACACCGGCACCGCTTTTGTCATCGACTTGTACTAGTATGTATCATTTGCCGCTACGCTAGGATCGGGATTGTAGTCCGTGATCCGTAGGCGTAGAGGGGGCTTGTTTTCCTTGGTGTGTGAGAGTTTTAGGTTCCTGCCTCGGTGGTGCAGGTCACTAGTTTTTGGTCATTCTTGTTTTAGTAGGAGTTAGCTGTTTGGCATGAGAATGAAAGAGTAATAATACAGTCTTCTAATAATAAAGTAACGACGTTCCGTTTGTGGAATGGTGAATCAAGACGAGAGGTAAAAACATTGGTCCTTCGAGAGCCGGATTCGAACCAGCCGGACGGAAAGATAATGGACGTCGACAAGCGGCACAGTGAACAGGTCAGGCGATCTCAACGTGAGACCAAAGGCCGGAAAGTGAAGCCGACTTGTTGCAGCAGGAGCGACAATATCAGTAACGTTGTCGCAGGCAGCGTCGCGGAGGAAACCGAAAGTATCTCCTCCTCGACACTGAGCCGATTCTCGAGTGTTTCTCGACGCTCTTCGAGCAGTGCTGCTGAAGCCAGGAAGCGGAAAGCGGAGCTGGTGGCAGCGCAGCGTGTGGCTGCACTTGAAGAGGAGGCGAGAAGCCATAGGCTGGAAAGCGAGAAGAGACTCTCCAATCTCCAGCTCGCCGCGGACCTGGCGGCGATTCAGGCCGACGAGGAGGTCGACAACGGAGGCACAGCAGCACCCGTGCTCGACTACGGCCACAGCGAGAGGGCAATGGACATGCAGGAGTCACACTACTTCGTGAGGGACGGTGAAGAACCAGTATCTGCTCAAGACGCAGAACAGTACCCACAGCACGAGGAGGTCGAAGTGACTCAAAGTGTCATGCCAGCCCAGGGGTACACGGACAGTGACCCACATGACGCGGCTACTCCAGCGGTAATTCCAGCCACCAGCCTTGTGCAGCCTCTGTGTGCTGCGGAGATAAGGATCCAGGAGTTGGAGGGGCAGCTGAAGTTATGCCGACAGAACACTGGCTCCATTGAGCGAGCCTATGACGACAAGCTCACTGTGGAGCTTGAAGAAAAAAGACGACTGAAAGACGAACTCCAGCTACAGCAACAGACGATTGCAACCCTGAAGCAGCGGAGCTTCCAGGAAGACGCGAGGCATGCTGACCAGGTGCAGGTGATCAAGTCCCTGGAGGGAGATCTTGCCAAGGCCGAAGCAAGCAACGACCGTCTCCAAAGTGACTTGGTAGCCAGAGACCATCGCATCAGCCAGCTCACCAGCACGTCATGCGACCTGGAGGACCAAGTGCAGAATCTAGAGTACGAGCTGGAGGAGACCAGAGCTCAACTAGCAGTCATGCAGGTGGACATGGCACCTTCCAACCGGGAAAGGTGCGAGCTGCAGACCAAAGCGCAAAGTGAGCCACGTGGTGCGGCCGGTGCTGACACCCCCACATGCGATCTACCTTCGTCCAAGAGCGCGGGAGCAGGGTGCCGTGACGATGGACCCCCGAAACGACCAGCAAGTACTGATGGTCCTGCTAGCCTGCAGACGCAGGCCACATCAGGTGACAGCATACAGACAGCTGTTGCATCAGCAGTGTCACAGCTGGCCCAGGTATTGTCGGATAAGCTGACGCCACCAAGGGCGACCACTCCAGCCCACCAGAACACCTCGGACAAGGACCTGCGGAGAATGATGGCTAGACAATCAGCCACAAAAGACCTGCCGGCCTTCAACGGTGATCCGACAGCATGGCCAATGTTCAACCGGACGTTTACGGCCTCCACTGCAGAGTGTGGTTTCTCCAACCAGGAGAACATGACCCGTCTGCAGAGAGCCTTGAAGGGAAAGGCTTTGGACAGTGTGAAGTCAATGCTCGTCGTACCGGACAACATTGATCGAGTGATGCACACTCTCCAGATGCGGTTCGGCCAGCCGGACCATGTGGTCCAGTCCATGATTGCCCAGGTCAAGACCATGCCTAAGTTGCGAGACGACGACTTCGAGCAGCTTATTGACTTGGCGAACTCGGTTAGCAACTTGGTGTCGACCATGGAGCTCCTCAAGAGCACAGGCCACTTAGCTAACCCACAGCTCCGCCAGGAGATCGTCCAGAAACTACCAAGCAGCTTGACCCGTCAATGGGGAGAGCACGTAGCAGAGTGCAAAGATCCAGTGACGATGAAAACACTGGCAGAGTGGCTCGCAAAGAGAGCAGATGCGCTCTGTTGTGTTCGGAGACTCGACACGACGGCAGCAAAGTGTGTGTCAACAGGCAGCAATATGAAGCCGCCACCGACTGCTCGACAGAGCGGCCAGCGGCAGACTGCCTTCGTGGCCAGCGAGAGAAAGTGCGACTTCTGCGGACGGGCAGGCCACAAGGTGGCTGAGTGCCGAGAATTCGCACGCAAGACGAGCAACGAACGCTGGAGATGGGTCAAGACAGAACGACGATGCTTCACCTGCCTTGTCCAGGGCCACCGCACTAGAGAGTGCCCTGACAGTACGCCCTGTAAGAAGGATGGCTGTGACCGGCTTCACCATCCGATGCTGCACCCACCAAAGAGGAAGGACGATGTCGAACGCACGAACCTAGCTAGCGCCCAGCAGCAAAGCAGAGTCGTCCTGAGGACAGTGCCGGTAGCAATCCGCGGACCGAAAGGTGTGGTGAACACGGCAGCACTACTGGATGAAGCATCAACGGTCACCCTGCTGGATTCAGACATCGCAAAGCAGGTGGGCGCAGAAGGGCCATGTAGGCCATTGACGCTAGCATGGACGAACGATATGTGCCAGCAAGATCCTGACTCCAGGGAGGTCACAATCACCGTGAGCGGTCAGGACGGAGACCTCCAGCTGTCGGCCCGGACTGTGCGTGAGCTGCACCTACCAGCCCAGCATGTCGACATCAACCATCAGCGACAGCGTTGGCAACACGTGAGCAGCGCAGACATCCCTCTCAGCGCGACAAAGAAGCCGCGCTTGCTGATTGGCCAGGACAACTGCCATGTTATCTTGCCCAGGGAGACGATCGAGGGCCCACCCAACGCACCCACACTGAGCCGGTGCAAGCTGGGGTGGTCGATACACGGCCAACTCGGTGGCGCTGATCAGGTACTGCATGCCCGACTTGACGGCACGGCAGAAGAAGGCAGCGCCGAGGACACGGATATCGGCCTCCACCAGCAGGTGAAGCACTACTTCACCACAGAATCGTTTGGTGTACAAGTCCGCAGCGAGAAAATACGCTCGCGACAGGAAGCGAAGGCGGAAAGGATCCTGGAATCCACCACGAGACGTATCGGGGAACGATGGGAGACCGGCTTGCTGTGGAGAGACGCTGACGTAAGCCTACCGGAGAGTAAAACGTCAGCAACGCGCCGCCTCCTGTCCATTGAACGCAAGATGGACAGGAACCCTGCATTCTCTGAAGCGTACTGCGCCAAGATTGCACAGTATATTGACGACGGATACGCCACCAAGCTCACACCCTCCCAGCTCCAGATGCCTTCTCAGAGAGCGTGGTACCTGCCACATTTTGGAGTGACAAACCCCAACAAGCCAGGCAAGCTGCGCCTAGTATTTGATGCAGCTGCGCCAAGCCACGGTGTCAGCCTCAACGATGCCCTGCTGCCGGGCCCCGACTATCTCAACCCTCTCACCAGTGTGCTGTTCAAGTTCAGACAACACCGCGTGGGGTTCGGAGGGGATATCCGACAGATGTTTCACCAAGTGCACATCCGACCTGACGATCAGCCTGCACAGCGGTTCCTTTGGCGAGGCAGTGACAGAGACCGTGAACCTGATGTCTACCAGATGAGAGCCATGACATTCGGCGCTGTATGTTCGCCAGCATCAGCCCAGTATGTAATGCGAAGAAATGCAGACGAATTCCGGCACAGCGCGCCAGATGCGGTTACTGCAATCCATGACAAGCACTACATGGACGACTACTTCGACTCGACGCCGACGGCAGAAGAAGCAGCCCAACGGATCAAGGAAGTGAGTCAAATCCAGGAAGCCGGAGGCTTCTCCATCAGAGGCTGGGTCAGCAACTCACCTGATGCTCTTGCTGCCGTACCCCCAGATATATGCTCACCATCGGTAGTCACTATTAGCAGCGACAACGAGACTGTAGTGGAGAAGACACTCGGTCTGAAGTGGTTGCCACGGGAAGACGCGTTCGGCTTTAGTCTGAGCCGTAGACTGGAGCAAAGCAACACAACAGAAGTGACAAAACGTGAAGTCCTACGCAAGCTGATGTCTGTGTTCGACCCCCTTGGTTTCTTCACCTACTACACCACGTCGGCTCGCATTCTGCTACAAGACATTTGGCGCACAGGCGTCGGATGGGACGAGCCCCTACCAGGACCTCTCGTCCAAAGATGGACGGACTGGTGGACGGGAGTGCACAACCTCGGAAGCAGGTCAATTCCGCGTTGCTACTGCACGGCTATTGCGGACAGAAAGGACCTGGAGCTTCACGTGTTCGGAGACGCCAGTGAGTCGGCATTCGCCGCAGCAGCCTACTTCAGGCTATCGCTACCTGACGGCAGCACCAGAGTCGCATTCGTGTTTGGCAAATCCCGTGTTGCACCACTGAAACCTGTATCCATACCGCGGCTGGAGCTGCAAGCTGCACTGATGGCCAGCAGAATGGCCGACACCGTCCGGAAAGAGCATGATCTACCTATCGACCGCATCGTGCTCTGGAGTGACTCTATGACTGTCCTACGATGGATCAGAGCAGACGCCCGGCGATTCAAGCCATTCGTAGCACATCGTATCGGAGAGATTGAGGAGCTCACTGATGTATCGCAATGGCGGTGGGTCCCGACACACAGCAACCCAGCAGATGCAGCAACCAGAGCCCCATCCGAGATATCAGCAGCGCAGCACATCTGGACGAATGGTCCTGAGTTTCTGACCAAGCCAGAGTCTGAGTGGCCAGTAGAGAATCCTGGGCAAGACACTACCACCAGCGACGACCAAGCCGAGATGAAGGCAGAGTTTACTGCGGTAGTCACCAAAGAAGCGCAGCTAGCCCTGCCAGATATCAGCCGCTTCTCATCCTGGATTCGGCTGATGAGAACGACAGCATGGATCGTCAGATACGTCAACAACCTGCGTGCGAAAGCATCAAGCAAGCCCACAGTCACTTGCACTGAGTTGCTGCCATCGGAGTACCAGCAGGCCCAGAAGCTGTGGTGGAAGAAAGCACAGCAAGACAGCTTCCGGGAGGAAATTGGCGACCTGCAGAAGCACAGCAATGTGAGCAGCAGCAGCAAACTTCGAGACCTCTCACCTGTGCTAGATAGCGACGGTGTGGTGAGAATGCATGGCCGAATTCGAAGTGCACCACCCGGAAGTCCACTGACGCCCGAGCCCGTCATCCTGGACCCGTCGCACCCATTCACACAGATGCTCCTTCAGCAGTACCATGTCTGGCATGGACACCATGGTCAGGACAGTGTGGCAAACGACGTCCGCCAGACGTATTGGGTCTTGAAACTACGCACAGCCGTCCGCCGTACCTGGACTGTATGCCAGCAGTGTAAAAATGAACGCGCGCAGCCAACACCACCTCAGATGGGACAGATTCCCGACGCACGCGTTGTCACGTTCATCCGCCCGTTCACACATTGCGGCATGGACTATTTCGGGCCACTGACAGTCACTATCGGACGACGTCACGAGAAGCGGTACGGCGTGATATTCACCTGCCTTACGACCCGAGCTGTACACCTGGAGCTGTCACACGACTTGACAACAGACTGTACCATCATGGCAATTCGCCGGTTGATCAGTCGCAGAGGGTGCCCTGGAGTTATCTACTCGGACAACGGCACCAACCTACGAGGTGCAGCAAGAGAACTCAAGGAATCGTTGGACCAGCTGGACCAGACACGCCTCACAGCTGAGCTCATACCGAGAGGAATCAAGTGGGAGTTCAATCCTCCGGCAGCCCCGCACATGGGGGGAGCGTGGGAGCGACTAGTGAGGTCCGTGAAAACCGCCCTGAGAGCCGTGCTCAAGGAACGTGCTCCGCGTGAGGATACACTCATCACGCTTCTTACAGAGGTTGAGGCGATACTCAACAGCCGGCCGCTCACACATGTGTCCTCTGACCCAACTGACGACAACAGCCTGACGCCGAACCACTTCCTCCTAGGGACGCCATCAGCAGCACCAGTGCCCGGAGTATTCAGTGGTGATGACCTACATCTGCGCCGGCAGTGGCGCATCGTGCAAGTGCTAGCAGACCATTTCTGGCGTCGCTGGATTAAGGAGTACTTGCCAACGCTAGCCCGGCGAACCAAATGGCACGGAAGAACAGAGAAGAAGGTGGAAGTAGGTGATGTGGTGGTCATCGCCGACGACAACGCAGTGAGGAACACATGGCCGAAGGGGATAGTGACGGCGACCTATCCCGGCAGAGACGGCCTGGTGCGGGTAGCAGATGTCAAGACGCAGACTGGTGTGTTCCGCCGGCCGGTAGCCAAGCTCTGCGTGCTAGACGTCCGTTGTGTTAGTGACGGATAAATCGTCACTGGGGAGAGGATGTTGCCCCCGTAGGCGACGTTGGCGACAAGCAACACCCGTCGTATGCAACTTACTTTGTATCCACTGCTACACTTTCTGTAGTCTGGGCTTCATGTATGACTAACACTGCTATTGATGTATTGACTTTCAGTCGGCTCCAGTTACAACTGCCGGTACACATGATACATGAACTGTCTGACCCCTTTCATGCATTCGTATGCAGCTGTCACCTAACACCGGCACCGCTTTTGTCATCGACTTGTACTAGTATGTATCATTTGCCGCTACGCTAGGATCGGGATTGTAGTCCGTGATCCGTAGGCGTAGAGGGGGCTTGTTTTCCTTGGTGTGTGAGAGTTTTAGGTTCCTGCCTCGGTGGTGCAGGTCACTAGTTTTTGGTCATTCTTGTTTTAGTAGGAGTTAGCTGTTTGGCATGAGAATGAAAGAGTAATAATACAGTCTTCTAATAATAAAGTAACGACGTTCCGTTTGTGGAATGGTGAATCAAGACGAGAGGTAAAAACAATTATTATGGGCAGGGAGTCGGTATTTTACGACTCACTGATAATGGGGGTTATGGACTCTTGTCGGTAGCAAGAGGGGTTATGTACTCTTATTGGTAGCCATTACCATGATTACACACACCTATAATTTCAAACAACGAAGGGATAGGGGTCAACCCTTCGTGGTTATTGGTGCGAGCAAGAGTTCATAACCCCGGGGTTATGAACTCTTGGTGCGAGTAATGGCTACCGAGGGTAGCTATGGTCGGCTTTAGAGCGCATGGAGAAGGAGAGTTTGTTGTGTCATTCATGTTCAACAGCCGAATGGTACCGTTCAGTTTTATTTTATTTTTTTTGTCAATATATTGGCCCATAAATGGGGTACATGTAGAGATAAACTGTTTATGGACTCTTGATGGTATGCACATGGGCATTCCCTGCTAAATTAGGGTAAACAAAGATGTGACTGCGTTTTATATCGGCACGAGTATAGTAAACCAGGATCTCCTAATGATTTATCCATAGAATTCAACCCGCTTGAGGCTATCGTACTCAGCGATCCCAAAATAATGACGCTCTAGCTGTAAATGGTGCTGAACAGTGAACACTCCAATTTCTATGCACATCGCGAGAAATTTGAAATCAACTGTGGAGACCACAGACCTACCACGTTCTGCATAAGTTTGCAGTGGGCACCCATAATACTACCAAGGGTACGAGTCTCGTACAACTTGATGTAGAAGCGTTGCATGTTGTGCGCAGAGCACTACAGTAGCAAGGACACACAACAGCAACCTCACACACCCAACGTCGTTCACACACAAGTGTCCATGTGACTTTTCATGAATGAAAAAAAAGACCACAAGCAAAGCGAATGATAGCAGTCCTAAGCTGCATGCAGTTCATGCGACCAGCACAACCGGTGTGAAGCGCTACTGCTAAAAAAAGGTCTTGATACGGCAGCTACTTGATAATATCAAGTTGCCAGAGAGTTAGAAGGTTATAAAGCACTGGGGAGCTACTCTAGCCTAACGGACTAAGTATATTCAGATGAACGGGATGAGAAAGGGGTCTTGCAATTGACTACAAAGGCATACGGAATCATATCAAATATGTTGCCCTGTTAAAACCAGAAGTACAATCTGACATGCCTACATATCTCCAGCTTATGTCCATGTATCATAGCCAGCAGCAGCAAGAATAGATGCATCTCAAAAAGTCAGGTAAGCAGTGCTTATGGTCAAAGAAGAAACACAGACACAAACAGCGGACTGGGAGGGGGGAAACACAGAGATAGGGTAGATTGTGTCGTTTTCCTACACAAGCTTGTTGATCATGGCCCTCAGCTTCTGCTCGTTGGCACCGGAGAACTCATCAACCTGTGATCACAACACATGCACAAACAATCATACACAAAGAGTTACTACACTGGCCAGACAATTCCCAGCAGTACTAGTACCCGTAGGGTGAGAGCAACTCAGTATAAAGTCATGAGGCTCTCGGACTTGTTAAATTGGAAATGCACCAAAACGCAGAGAGATTGGAGTGAGTAAGATACCGCATAAATAAATAAATGCACAGCACATGTAAATGCAAGCAAGGTTCCAGGCCTTCAGTTGCATGTCAGCAGCTTAGTGGTACGTAGCACAGTACTATGGAACTTTACATCACTAATCTTAGCTGCGGCAGTAACAGGACCCATACATGGAAGCTGCACAGTTCTCATGCACTGCCGACATTACCTTCTCGCCGTTCTTGAAAAACAGGAAGGTGGGCATGCACTGGATCTTGTACACCTCAGCGACATCACTCGCCTCATCGACATCAACCTTGAGGAACACAGCTCTTGTGAACTCTACAGCCATTTCCTACAAACCCATAGACAAGATTCAGAAATTAGTTGTTGAAACGAACAGAGGTACGAGTAAAGGGCACAAAAAAACACAAAAAAGCATGCTTATTGATGACAAGCGGGATCAGCATTAAGTTTTTCAAATTGCTACTCACGAGATTGGATAACAATGACACAATGATATAATGGCATGTTGAGGTCACGGAACTCAGCATGCCCTTATATCAACAAGACTTATTGAATCTTTTGGCACGGCCTTGACAGTCATATAAACAACACTGAAAAAAATACTAGTGAAATGAGGTGGGCTACTACGCACATGAACAGCCAGATTGCAAGGAAGGCTGCTCTCCTTTGAACATTACGAGAGGAACCTCTGGAGGAAATGTAGCTAAATCGATTTCTACACCGGACCTTGGAGGCGAAACTCTGCATGTACTTCACTGCACATCATGACCGGCTCTGTGTAAATTGTATGCATGGCTCAGAGGCAATAAAAGCGGCTGCTACTGGCCCTGCTTACTTCAAATTTCGGGGAAATCATACGGCAAGGCCCACACCATGCTGCCGAGAAGTCGACGGCAACAAGAACACCTTCGCCGGCAGACTCCAAGCGGCCCTTGAACTCAGCCTGAAATTACACAGATGAAAGACAAGGCAATAAATACATCGAAATGCAGTACAACTTTTTTTAGGGAAAAAAATCTCAAGCAAATCAGACATTAGTGGCTCAACTGCTTGAGGTCACATACAGCACGTCCTGTGATATATTATGTATAAACGAGCCGTACAAAATGTGGAGGCCGAAAATTCGGACCTGATGGACTGATTGTATTTGTAGACTAAAATACAGTTGCCACCAACGAGTATGACTATGAGCAATGCTAAAAAGAGTGGGAACGGATTTTTGAGGACAACTGTTGTTTCGAACCGCGAGGCGGAAGAATGTTCCAGGGCCTTTGAATGCACTGTGCAATCGAAAGTCATGCTGCAGCAGCCATTATATCATCTGATCATGCTGCACAACCGACGTGCAGTCAAGCATGCTTCCGCACTAACATGAAAGAGGCCTCAGCTAACAATGTCAGCAAATTTACTAGTAATCAAAACACATTTAGTGGAACCAAAAAGAATAGAGAGGAACACGACCAAGGCCACGACGGAGGCCATCATGCCAATCAAATGTGAATTTTAAGTTCCGAAACCACAATTTTGTGTATACGTGTATAGCCTATAGGTAGATACTTAGATTTGAGGCCTATCTGTATGGACATAAACACTACATTGGTCGGAAGGAAAGAAGAGGCAGTAAGTACCCCCAGGAAAAGAAGAGTGAAAACAGCGGAGGCTGAGAAAATACAACGTCTATCTACTGTAACTTACGAGGTTGACAACAGCTTCCACAGGCATGATGCTGGAAGAATTTGCGCCGAAAGAAACGGGACAAGGAAAGAGATGCTACTCCAAAGGAGAAAATATGCAACTGAAGTACAGAACAGAGAACTGCTGGCAGCTTGGCCGATCTTTCGTGTTTGGCTCGCGTACAACTAATGTGTACAGACAGTGGTGTACGGACCGGTACGTGCTGTGTGTAGCTTTTGGCGAAGCACTTGCTTATTTGAATGCCCACGCGCTAGTCTTGTACTTGTTGTAGCAGATCACACAGCAGCAAGCTTCTTTTATATCTTGCGCTTGCGCTATGTAGGTCGTTTACGCAATAAAAGAAAAGACTCTGAGTCCGAGCATGATCACGTGCAGATGTCCGTGGTGGTGCAGAGAGCATCAAAAAATCCCTACCCGATGCTGGAAGAGTCTGAGATCGTGCATGCGGGCGTGCTAGATGAATCAGTAACGCATGCATGTGTGCGGAGTCAGAACGATCGACGGTGCACCGGTGAACCATGCCGACTGAAGATCGATAGCTACATGTAGCTTGCGCCCAGCGTTTTCACAATATTTGCTGACACTGCACGGACACACAAAATCGTGATGACACAGCAAATGTGTGACCGCGCGCCGTTCGCCTGTTATTTTTTTATGTTCCAGGCATCTGTACGTCGACGCATCTGTAGATTTTGTACCTGGGGCTGCACGCACACACACTGCTGTGGCACAGTCACCACATGTGATCATGACCGTAGCATTTTTCAGCGGGACACAAACACCATGAACACTGAAACAGACGCTACAACAAGTACAAACAAGTGCAGCGTGGCATGTTCTGTACTTGGTAGTGGATGTGGGGCACTGGAAAAGCTAGTCTAGAATAGCCGGTTTACCCTGGTTCTACCGGGAGCCTCGGATGAAGTGGAGACTTTCAAAAGATAAAACGGCTCAGCACTGCATGCAGCACTGACAGTCTGTGCACGTACAATGTACAAGCACGAACTACTCAATGTGTTACTGTTAGTCACTATGACTCATAATACTAAGACGAAGACAAAGTGTCGAAAGAACCTTCCATTTCAGGGATCTACGCCGTGTAAAGGGGAGACATGGCATGATAGCGAGCCACGTCAAGACGCGGGGTGTGCCATCTTTGAGTGGTGCTCCAGTGACTGTGAGTTTTCCCATAGGCATAGATGAGTCACACTTCAATAATTGTAGGCATGTATTAATACTATTACTAAGTATTAGTATTATGTAGCATTGTAGGGCTGCCACTGCCATGACTACAGACAGTACAACGAGTTACGTACAGCACCCGCGACACCAATAGTGGCAATACGGCAATAGGCAATAGCGACGTCAAAGAACCACGGCTTGGTCATTCAGTACTGGTTATTTATTAGGCCATAGGGGTTGTCGCAGCACAGGACCTACACACAGACGTAGACGTTGCGTGTGTGGCATGGTCAAGCCAAGGACTTCCTTTACTCTAGGCTCTACTAACTAACTCACTGTCTTAGTAATAATATGAACAGGTCGCATATTGCCCGCATAAACAAATCATACGGGGTCATGCATCGGTCAATGATCGTTAATTGCTGCGACCCTTAATTGCTTGTTGGTGGCGAGGTTGAGGCTTCCTGATCCTGAATC